ATATTTCTACTAAAAATTTATTCCTGAAAAAGAGAGAGAGAGACCTCTCAGAATGGTCCAATAGTTTAACATTTTTCACATATCTAAATCAATAATATATAATAATTATTCTTTATCTGCAATATGAAAAAAAATATAACATAAAAAAATACTTTATCTTGGACGGAATGAAAATTGGGCACATATCTAGATATAAAACATTATAAACTTTATATATAACACCTCCTCAAAGGAATTAAACCAATCCAAAGTTTATGTTGTAAGCAGATATTAAATACAACTGAACTATGTTCAATTCAGAAAAGAAAAACAAAGTCAATGATTACGATACTAAAGTTTCTTTCATACATGGATATATAAATTACATTTAAATTGTAAATGTAAATAGGTGCTCTTTTGAGTATACCTTTGAGAAATATATACTCTAAAAAAAGCTCATTGAAGAAATATGCTTCATAATGTATATATAGTTTACTATAACAATAAATCTTCCAATCATCTAAAACATTCTTGCCTAAATTTAGATTATAATAATGATAAATTGGATATTCTAAACTTGAGATGTATAAATAATTAAAAAGTTCAATTTGATAACTAGTAAATTTTCAAAGTTCATAAATGTAGGATATCTAGAAATGAAAATAAATTGTTATAAATATAATTAAAAAATTATATTTTATTGATGATTTTGTATTCTTCTATCATAAAAATATACTTATATAAAAAATTATATATTTAAAAGTTAAAAACAAAAATTTAACAAACTTTATATTTATATCTTTTTCAAAATTAAAATAGAAAAATAGCTTTTGTATAAAAATGATAGTGAATACAGTGGCTAACAACCAATATTTATTGTTGTTACCATTATAAAAATAAAGAATAAAAATAATACAGAATATATGTTATTCTAAAGAATATTTAATGAAGAGTCACATCTTTGGTTTATTTTAAAATTTAAGAAAAATATCTTAAAATTTTGTTATATTCCTTAATTTCATCCCATTCCATCAGCATTTTATAACAGTGCACATCTGTATGCAGTTAGAATTTCAAATCAATATCTCTAAAATTACTAAATACTAACAAATGAGATAATTTTACAGTATTTCTCTTGAATGTCACTAATCAATACTTAATATTTTTAATTAAAATTGAATGTCATCAATTATAGTAGTAAAATAAGACTAATCAATCTCCAAATATAATTTTGACCATCATTAAGATAATGCTGCTCTTTGAAAGTTTGTCATTATCAAAAAATAAATATTTGACAATAGAATTTATTCAATCTCAATAATAAATAATGAACTAAAGAAAACAAGTCAAATAAACAAGAATAATTTAACAAAAATGCATATAAACTTACTATTGAAAACATCAAATTTTGATATACTTAATTTTTATTTATGTTAAAAAATTTAAATTATTATTATGTTAAATTAAAATTATCAATTATTAAATACTGTATATTATTAAATTTATGTTACATTCTATGAGCAGGAGCACCTATATAATGAAAAACATTCCTCTTTTTCATTTTGGTTGACTTTTCCTAATCCCATGGGTTTTCAAGGCCAAGTTAGCCTTGAGTGCAACCAGCATCACCTTCTGGGAGCACTGATATAATGTTGAATTAGAGTTTGAAGCTTCTTGCACAATATACTATGTCCTTTTTTATACCTTATGTACCCTTTTAAGGCTGGTATACACGATAAGGAAATCCTCAAAGGATGTGCTTAACAGACGAAAAAACTCGGATATAACTGGCTGGATCGAACATAGTAATTTACAAAACTTATTAAAATATCTCCCAGCGTATAAAGAATTATTTTTATTTAAAAATGGATAGATAGAAAAAAAAATCACAGTTAATCCTCAAAGGATTTCCTTACCGTGTATACCAGCCTTTATAGTCTGCAGACACCGTTGTAAATGAGCTCTAAGTTCTGCCAAGAAACACGATAAGAATGATTAATATACAGTGGCACCCATATTTAACACATTCTCAGGGATTAATAGATTGCAGCCTAAATTTGAGACAAACTTAAAATAGGGATTTAAGAAAACAATGATAAAACCAACTATAATCAATGAAATTAATAGTTGTGCATAGTAATCAGGGGATAATACTATTGCCAAACTTATGTAATATGAAAATTTAATGTTAATTTCTTTATCACTTTAAATTCATATTACGCTAGATCAGTGTTTCTCAATGGGGGCAATATCGCCCCCATGTGGACGATTCTCCATGTTNGTCTAATTTTCTTAATAAAATAAATTATTCACACTTCCAAATAGCATTTATGAAAATTCTTATTCTGCTATTAACAATATTCCAAATAATATATGTTTTAAAAAAGACTGAAATTGTAGAATATTACTGTTTCATTGTTAAAAACATTTCTTTGATCTTGTTTTTTCTTATAAAACATTTTGCAAAATTGTCAACTTAATGCAGACTTGTTTTCTTTATACAGCATATTATTTGTAGTGTTAAAATTCACTTTCGTATACTGTTACTAACGTTCATTTCATGAAAAATTTCAAATTTATGGAAAAGTTCCATGCAAAATACTCTTTTAAAAATATATACACTTTTATAAATAATCTAAGGAATTCTAGACGCTTCTCAAGGGGGTGGAAGAAAAAGAAGGAAAAAAAAAGTTCATCCCATATGGTTACTTTTATATCGCTGGAAAGATAACGAAAACAGAGCGTAACACTACACAGATGGGAACGTCCGGAATATAACGTATCTGTGACACAGTTAAAAGAATCTCAAGGCCAATTTCTCCAGTAAATATATATTTTTCAAGAAACCTGGTTAATTTTTTTTTAGGTCGATTAATATAATTCTCGAAAAACTGGAACTAAGAGGAGTCCCAGTTATTAGGGGAAAAAATTTAGAAACTAAAACTAGAATTTAGTATATTTAACCAAAAGCTGTGCTCTTAAGATTATTTAAAAACGTTTCTTTTTTTTCTTTTTTTATGCTACTTTTTGTAAATATATGCGTAAGAATCTAAAATTATTTTAAGTTGTTTTTGCGCTTATAAAGAGGTCAAACAGAAAAAAAAATCGCATTCAAACGCGACGACGATCATAAAACTTCTTAATTGAAGAGATACATTGCACGTTTGATTTTTATAATTATTTCATTGATTTAAGTACTCGAGACAATTTTTTATACGAAGAAAATCTATTTATAATTTCTACATTTTGTATATTAATCGGTTAAATATATTTTTAAACAGCAAAACATTCCCGTAACCGCAGTTATAAAAAAAAATTTTTTTACGTGACTCGAAAGAATTAAAATATGAATAATAAATTTTAATTGCACCCAATATCAGATTCGATTTTGACAGGATTTATCGGGAAATCCATTAGCTGACACACATCAGAATGGGACAAAATTATTTCGAAATAGACTATTTTTTTTTTAATAATTTGAATAAAGCGATTACCTATAATCGACTTATATATACGTTTATTTATTCTAATTCAAAATTTAAAAGGAAAAAAAATCCATAAAACTTCTTAAATTCCCGGAGAAATGTGTTATTTAATTGACGCGTTACTGCTTCGAAATCCTCTTACCATCATTAAATATTAAATTCGATAAACACGCCAAAGCGCTCGTTACGTTACACGTGTTTATCGCTTTACTAAAACATCGATTGCTTCTAATTTTGGCACTTCCAACGCCAACTTCTATTTCTAAACTGTCTCCAGTTTAAACAAAACTTCTTAACATTAATAGCTTGAGAAAACGCTGTGATTTAGGCTCGTTACGTTAAATTATAAACGCGTCTATCCCTGGCTTGACTTTATTTTTTATTTTTTCGCACGGAGTAACGAACGTGCAACACGTTTTCGAGGAAACTCGCCCACAAACGTTTTAAATTCGGGTGATTTACCATTCGATTCCCACGGCCGTCGTTACGAAATCGTTTAAGGTCAAAGGTTAATGGGGGTGCAAAGGGCGGCGGCCGGAGGCCGTCTCTCAAAAGAGGGTTCGGCCCGACGCCCACCCACTCGTTTCGACGGTGGTCTCCCTCGTACCGCGTGCACGTACGGGGGAGACAAAACGACAGGAAGTAATGTTATATCGTATCAATGAGAGAAGTGGAGCCGGAAGGAAAACGAATATCCTGTGGCAGGCACAACTGTCGTGGCAGGATATATTTGGTCTCACAACTGTTGTCCACTTCGGCGACTATTGTGGAGTTTCCTGACTGTCGCGTTGTCGTTTACTATTTCCTGGAAATACGTACTGTACGAACGTACAAGTAAACGGACAGTACATGAAATTCCATAGAGTACACTAGAAAAATTCATTTCATAATTCAGCCAAATTATTAAAAACATCAGTTCTTCCTAAATTTATTTTAGGTAACTCAAACTCGTTAAATTTTTATAAACTTCGACATATCCTACGATTAAAATATCTCGAAATTTGAACCGAACCGACAACGCGTCACGAGTCTTAAACGACAAAAATAGCTCTTTTACAGAATAAAATCACTTAAAATGATGTCAAACAATTACGCATAATGTGAAAGAAAGTTTTTAAATGTTTAAAAATGAATAAAAATTAACATTTCCGAAGCTGGCGTGAAGATTTGCTCAGAGGATCTATGATTGACAGTACAAAACTTTTGAAAAACTTGGTACTACCACAAAACTAAATACGACTGTTAATATTTATAAATATTAGCGTATTAGAATTTGTTTTCATACACATAGTTTTCTCATATATATAAAATAATTTTTTCATTTAAAAAAAACCAGGAATAAAGGGAAAAGAACATTTACAAGCGTTAGAGGAAGCGATCATCATTGCGAACAATCGGGTTTTGAACGTAACAGAAGTATTCGAACGCATTTAATTCTTTTTGATTTCCTTTTTTTTCTGCGAATCGTAACACAATCACTACCATTATTATTATTATTATTATTATTATTAAAAATAACAACAAACAGATACTCACCCTGACGCCATAGCAGATTCCTCCGTCGGAGATTTGAGTATCGGGGTGAAGCCATCCTCGAGGTGGTTTATTAATAAAAGTACCATTTTTGGACCAGTCGGAAGGGACGGCCGTTACGTAACCGGACTGTCCGGAACCGGTGGCACCGCTACTACCGTCACCACTCGCAGTAGACGATGTCCAATGGATCTTCGCCCTTGGCATCTCCCGATTAACCGTCTGACTCTGATACTTGACGTATCGTTCGGACTGTGCGACGAATACTACTTTGCTCAATATTCCTTCGTCTTTCCTTGGGGGTGGTGCGGAAGGTTTCGGTGATACACCGGGCTTCAGAAACGTCCTCGGCGTGCTGCTCCTTCTCGGAAGATTCGTCCGTGATCCGGTTTCGTCATCCTTCAAGTTGTGATAACCGGAAGAGAGACAACTCAGCATTATTATAACATCACTACAAACACATAGCAATTAAAGTTAACATTTAAAGTGATCGATAGGGAGAGAGAGAAGGGGATGGAGTCGTAGCTGCCACGCGCGAACTCGAGCCACATGAATGGGGAAAAACTACGACGGGCAGGAAACCGGTGGGAGTGTACCGGATCTACGTCACTATCCCGTTCCCTCTTTTCATAGGACACCGTTTATAATAAATTCGACGTCCTTACATACTAGTTACAAATTTTGTCACCATAAAGAAAATATTAATCTTTTTTTTATAAACTGCAGACTGGGAAATAACCGTTTATATGCGAATCAATGCGAGAACGAAATCCTATAGAGAAAAGCACCGCGGGGTCATTGTAGATGAGGAGGACAATGACGCTAGACATGGCAAGACGACCGACATCATAAATTCGAATGAACGTGTCTGGAATCGAGCTGCATATGTAACTTAAATGAAAGAAAATAAAAGTTATATCGATCGATGGTCGGACTAAACACTCGCTCCTCCATCGATAAAATGATGTTTTAAATGATAAATTTTTATGTTATTTTATAAATTACTTACAATTAAACTTATACATTATTAATTAAATATAACTTAGTCTGTAAATTACATATAATAATATATCAATTATTTTTAATTTATTATGACTGATGTTAAATATAATCAAAAAATTATGAATCGAACCAATTATTATATACGGTATCAATTAGTTATATTTAAATCTTAAATTTTACACAAAAGTATTAATCAGAAAAGATAGTACAGTATTTTGAATACAATACGGTAACTCGATTTAACAATACGTAATAAGACACATTTAATTCGTGAGTATACGCAATTTAAGTAAAATTTATCCTCCTTTACGAATGAGCGATTTAAAGAAATTAGCCATTTAGAGCGAAATATCGAGAGAGCTTCAGAAAATGAAGATGTGTTCTTCAATTCTATTATGTATATACACTCGCGCACGTAGGATCTATTACAGAGAAAAGTCGAATTTAAAATTTTCATCATACCTTTTGCAGTTTTTATTTATATTCATAAAATAGATAAGATACTCGAGGTATTTTCCAAGAGTTTTCTCACAAACGCTCATATGTGTATGTGCGTATAAGTTATACATTTATTTATTTAAACTGTGTGTATGTGTGTGTATTTATATATGTAGCCAGAAACGATTCGTAACACACAGAAACGTACAAAAGGAAGAAAACAACAAAATAATAAAAATAAAAGCTTAAAAGACATTGAAATAAAACAATTGATACAAGGGAGCAAAGGATGTCACAAACGAACAATCGACAAAAGAGAATAATAAAAAGCAGAGTCTTGTCCAAAAATAAAACAACTCTCGGGGGACAATAAAACAGCATTTTCTCGGGCGGGACTTTACACGCGCATTCCAATAGATAATTGTCCAGGTGCGACCGGGAACCTCTTCAACGCGTCACTACTCCTCGTTTTCGAACTGTAAATGGATTAAAGGAAGCCGAATACTTGGAAAGCGAAGTTATCGAATATTATGGACGATTACAAATTAACAAGTTCGTTCGGCATCGTCTCTTTCGCTTCAAAGAGGAAGGCCGCCGCACAGTAATCTTTTGCGCTCGCGGGATTACGAGTCATGTGACGATAATTCGATTACTTTGGAAAGTTCTCTACCGAACTATTCGCTCTTGGGTAAGAATGCCAAAGATAATACATCTTTTTCAACTAAAAAAAAAACATAGATACTCGCCCTCGGGACATGTCATGTTCGAACTATCTGCCTGTGCGAGAGGAAAAGGTTGAAGTTACATGAATTGTTTCTTTCATTCGAGACAAGTTAAAATATGCGTACAAAGAAACTGAAATTCCAAACTAGGATCACGCTTTTATACCTGACTGTTCTTGCTATAAATCTACAAGTATGCGTTTAGTTTGAACTGTCAGTGTTCGTATAACATAATTTATGTATTACATAGCGTACAGTACTGTTTTTTTAGGAACTGTATTAGTACGCGAACCATCGTCGATCATTCTTCTAGACAAAGTCTATTCTCGAAACACTATTTAACTTGTCTATAAGCACGCCAGACTTCAACTTATAATGATATCATCATAAATAACACCGCATTTCATATAACTAGAACTTTAGGTTCAATTCTGGCCACATTACGGAACTGACACGATCTTAGAAAAATAAATGGAAACTTCTCACAAGGAAACATTATGTCAAATTTCATCAAAATTTCTCAACTAATTTTTGAAGTTCATCTATATAAATAAACTTCAAATTAGCTGAAAGATTTTGATGAAATTTGTCGTTGTCATCATTGCTTTATGTCATTACAAGCATTACCATCTTTCATTATATAGAGGAACAGTCAACATTGCCCAATGACAAAAGGCAGTGATGCTGACAATAATTTAATTATAATTACATAAAATAGTTCAGATGTAAAAGACAGTTTTCCAGCTACAAACGAAAAACTCAATCGTAGTAGTATCTAATTCGAAGCGAAAACACGCGATTAAAAATACATGTGAAAGCTTAAAAGTATTTTTGCAAAAAAAAAACTAATTTCCAATTTCAATCCAATTATGGAAATACAAATTTTATTTAGTTTATGTTGAAACTAAATAAAATATTAAGAGATTAATACAATATATTGAAATATGCATCCATAGTTTTTCTATAAGGATTTATTTATACTGTGTATAAACAATAGCATACATCATTCTTTTGTAGAATTCAATGAATAATTCGAAAACTATTTGAGATAGTGACTAAACTTTCAACACACATTTTAAGTGTTGAACACGCAATCACTCACATTATAGATAAGACTAAGTTCAAAGATTTAAAATTACAATATTCGCATTTTTATTCTGAAAAAAAAAATAATAAATTAATTAATTAACAAAATAAAATTTTGAAGAAAAAATTAAACAAAAACTCGATTATAATAATTTCATATATTTTGAATATCACTGATTAGAAATCCTTTATTTCTGAGAAAACTTTCTTCATAATTAATAGTGATTTTATCTACAGTTTTCTATACAATATCTATTAATTAAACATTATAATTGTGCGGAAAATCCTTTAAAAACAACATCAAATGATTATAGTCTCGCGAAATGCATGAATGACATTTATTTCTCGTAAAATTGTATTATTTAGATAAAGTAATTTCGTAAATACTCTAATCATTCATCAGTGAATAATCAAATTGTGTAATCAGATACAGAAATATCAAACGACAAATTACGAAACAAACACTCTGACAAAAATACTGAGAAAACCACAGCAGAACCCATATAAATATAATTTCGCAAATAATAAAAATTAGTTTCAATGCAAATGTATAATTAGTATATTTAAAAACTATATTTTGTGNTCTGGGCGATATAGTAAAACATTATATTAAGAATAATTAGATATTTTATTCGTTATATCGTACAATAATTAAACAAATAACATTATACTAGTCACTAGTCTATTCGATACAGTACGAATTTGGCGTTAGTCTTGGTACTCGGCCTCGGAATTTTGAAGTGAAGGGGGCAATGGTTCGTTACAGGATGAGAAACACTGCGCTAGATGATGAAAATGAATGGAATAAAAATAATATTAGTCACAAACAAAACAATAATTTTTTATTATGCAAATATAGTGTGTTTTCATTAAATGTATATACATTAATACAGCAATATCAATTATTTACATTCATTGTATACTAATTTCATAATATGAATGTATAATGTGAATCAATATTTAATACAATCCCTTTTTTGATTGTGCAACAGTGCAGCAAGCAAAAAAATTTGAGACACAGAACTCACCCAATACACTCTTATCCTGTGAATGTTAAATCAAAATCACATTTGGATGTACAGTTAAAAAAGAAAAAAAATTGCTCTTTAAAATTGAAGTTTAATGTAAAATCAAGAAATGTTAGTCTAAATTTATTATTTTTTTTAGAGCAATACAGGTTGGGACAATTAAAAATAAACATATAATTGGGGTAAACATTAAAATACTATAGTAACAAATCATTAAAAATAAAAATCTATATTGAACTGAAAAAATATTTTAATCATAAAAGAAATCCAGAAACTTAGTATTCTATTATTATTTATGCAAACTGTTATTTTATTCATTTATAATTTAATACATTTTGAAATCAAGTGCTCCCATTTTGAATTTCCTTTCAGTATATTTACACACACTATAATTTATTTCTAATTTTGAACAAGCATAATGCCACAAACTGTGAAGACTACATTGTTCCCTAAACAATTTGTCATTAATATTTGTTAACTACAAATATTCATATACTAAACAGGATTCAAATTTGTAATTTGGTAAATTAGGCACAGCACTAACAAATTCTATTATCAAATTAGTATTTTGGCATTCAACATATAGATTTGATTTATTTTAAAGAGGAATAAATCATTTGCTTTTTTTAACAATTTATTAAATATACTACTGTTTAATTTTTGCAATTAATAGCTTCTTAACCTGCATTAGTTATACATAATTCTTTACATTTTGTTTACTTTTTTTTATACTTCTTTTAACAGTAACCAAAAATACATAAAAATAAAACAAATATAGAATATACTGTACATACTTATCGTAATTGTCTTACATTTATAAAAAAAATAAATCCACATTTTGTGAATAGATTGTGAATAAAAATGTGATTTTTACTTCATTAGGTATTTCTAGTAATTTATATCTTATGTTAAAATACAAATGTTCTTTAATTAATTATTCAACTTTTACCAATTGAATCAATATGTTCTTAAACTTTCTTTTCTGTTTAAACAAATTACAGATAAAATTCATGATGAATGAATATGTCTTAATTATTATAAATTTAGATTTATTAGAATAATTGAATTATTTAAATGTAGAATAATGGAAACAATGAAATTGTTTGTATTTGATTGTATTAATAGTCTACACCTGGGATTGGTAATGTGAGACTGCATGTAGCTCACTTTTTAAAATTGTAACTGATTATTCATTTCAAGTTTCAACACTAATAAGTGGTAGTATCACATCAATTCTGTTACAAGGCATTATCCATGGAAATTATAATGCCCATTGTCACATGTTTGTGAGTAAATACAACCAACATAATGACTGTATTGCTGTTAAGTTGCCTTTAATATTAAAAAATTTTACTCAAATATTTTAGAATATATTTACATCCTGAGCAAAGTTAATAAAAATGGCAAGTTTGTGATGATTATTCACATAAAGAATATTCATCACAAACTTAAATTAAAAGGAGCAACAATTTATAAAGAAAAATTTATTAATGATCTTATGTTTGAAGAATACAATATAGAATACAAAGAAACAAACTATTCTTCAGAATATATAGTGAAATACCAGCAAAAATGAAAAAAGAAAATATGTATTATAACAGCTATAATTTCTATGAATAGTGAAGTAAGTAATATTGAAATTTGTTTTAGTAATAATAAATAAAAACAATTAAGAATTTTTAGTACT